TGAAACAGAGGATTCCCATGATCTGACTTATGAATATAAAAGGATCATTCTGGCCCTAAACTAGAGAATAAATTGCAGGAGGACAAGGGTTGAAAAGAGATAGGCAAGTTAGGAAGCTAGACTATAGATCATTTTGACAGCTTGCACTCTGGTCTCGTCCAAGTCCACCTAAACGTAATTTATTATCTCTACCACCTGTCTCCTCTTTTTCCATTCATATTACCCAATCCAGAAATCACTACCTACTATTTTCACTGTTATACTAGACGCCCTAGTTTGGGGACGACAAGTGTGAAGAAGGTAAGAGTGGAGCTTCACATTCATGCCTTAAATAGTTCTATAAACAATAGTGAATAGAACAAAAAAGATAAATAGTACATTGTTAAAATGGAAACTAAGTGGCATAGGTGAAGGTTTGGGTACCTCACAGCAGCAAATAAAAACAAAAAATACTCATAAAAATACTTACTTGAAAATTTTTGAGAATTTCTGAATTAATGTATATTTATAGATATAAGCCTAATCTTTCAGAATGCTTGATTTTGACTTTGTTTCAAAGAAACAGGTGCAATTATATTATTTGTTCACTTTATTTTAATTCACAGAGAACATACAGGTATTAATTTTTAAAACATACCGAAACCCAAACAGATGACAATCTCAACCAATATCAAGATATTTGACTTTTCTAATTAAAAAACAGAATTATATCTTTACAACCTTGAAACACAATAATTTCATGTTCTTAAATATAATGCCATATCCCAAATATAAAAGAGATAAAGGCAAATTCTTAAAGCTGAGTATCATCAATAGCTAAGAAAAGTAATGTAATAAAACATGGGATTTTTTTCCAAGTGTAATTGGATTTAGTGACTATCAAAAGCAATTATTATATTAACATTTACCTTTATTGGTAATAGTTCTAGAAATAAGAAATGGATATGTGGCAATTTAAACAATTCACTTTTCCTAAAAAGACAGTCTGACTATTGTCAAAATTGACCTGTGAGTTCACTGGTTCTACAAAAATTATGTTAATATTTACTCAACAGAAGGAGGAGAAAGTTCAAAGTAAAAAAGACAGTTACAAATTACCACCAACTATATGCAAAGCTACATAAATGATTTAATATAGTAATCTTATGCTACTGAATACTCAAGAAAATCAGAATATAATTCAATTTTTAATATATGGGTTTTTACAGTTTATAATTATATAGACATGATCATTATTTGTCTGCTTAAAGAGGTTCTCATTGCTATTAATTTGCCTTTCTTTGAAAAGCAGGAGACTATAATAGTTCCTTTAGCTAGCGCATCTCAAATCTGTTACTAAGAGAAAAGAATAAAGAGAAAAAGCATGTCACTTCTTTCAAGCTTCATTTCTTCTATTTTATAAGGGGAAATAGGAACCTGATAAAAATTGTCCAATGCAGTAGAGTTTGAATTTATATTCTCCTAAAATGGTAAACACAATAAATTGAGAACCAAACGCTCAATTTTATTTCATGTCAATTGTAGCTAGAAAGGACATAATTATAGCAGAAGGACTGACTTTACAGCAATTGTAAAAATGTAAATAAGGCTTGAAAGCTGACTTAGGAATTATATTTTATAAATGAAGCTTTGATTTTAATGTAAACAATTATCTTAGGGTATGATGTGTATTATTCAAAATGTTCTGCCTTTGTTACCATTGAAATGGTAGTTACACTTTAGAAAACCGGAGGACAGAAACACCTGTTTCTTATCAAATCGTATCTCCTAGTGATTATGATAATTTTATGTACAAGATAGACTTTAAAATTTTAATACTGCAACATTTTAAAGTTTATATTATTAGATAAAAGTTTATTTTAAAAGTATCAGTGGAAAATGTAAAACAAACTGTGATATGACATTATCAATTTTAGTCCAAATATTCTTAGTAGCAAAGTATCAAGTGTCTACATTAAAAATGCTTTGCATAACTTGTATTGATTCTGTCCTAATGCAAATATTTAATTATCAAAATTTGGAAAATAAACATTTAAACATGCAACAAAAACTGTCAATATTTTGTAATATTTTCTTCAAATCACCAGACCACTTGGTTAGCTATTTGTCTACCTAAAATTTGGATAATACTAAATGTATTTTTATAAGTTGCTTTTTATTAGTTCCAAAGCTCCTATTAAAGTATATTTTAATTGAAAAAAAAATCAAATGGCTTTTAAATCTATGTTTTCTTTTAAAAGAATGAAGTCCATGCCAAGTTGAGTCATGAAGAGAAATGTCAGTGCAATCCCTGGCAGCTGCTCGCTTCCCTGGGAAGGAAGGGCTGGTTAGGAGTACAGTAGCTAGCAAACCCCTCAGCACTCCACAAAGTCACTAGTGGGAAAAGAACAAAGGCCTTTCCAATGCAACTAACACAGATGTGCCCAAAGGCAAACTGTCAGAAACAGTTAAGATGACAGCTACTCACAGTTCATTATTTCCTTCTCACAGGTCACTGGGTGACAAGCTGGGTCAGCATGCTTTGTTGGCTGTCCCAGTCCTTCTCCACCCCCTATTCCATTTAAATAAGGGTAAGGGACTCCTTTGGATAAACTAATGTAAACGAACACATTCCAGACACTTAATGCCAGAATATGGCATTTACTTTACTTTGGACCAAACTTAGAATTCAACGTACACACAACTTATTTTATCGAAGCAAGGGGAGAAGCACACTTCTACGCCTACTTTTCAGTGATTATTTGAGAGAGAGAGAGAGAGAGTTTTAAGAGGGAAAGAAATCGAAATTACATCTACTGTGGTAAATTGTGGAGGCGGAGGGGAAAGAATGTAGATAAATCCCTGCTTTAAGGAAAAAAAGAAGAAGAAGGCAGGAAGAGTTGCTGGAGCCTAACACAGAAAACCTGAGGAATGTCCACTAAGAAAAGACCTCTAGGAGATTTCTTATGAAACCATATCCCAAACATATTTACTAGTCAATTCCTATTGACTAAAAAAGCATAAATCTAAATAAATCCCTATTAAAAATTCTTTTCTATCTCTACTTGTTTTCAGAACATTTTCACAACTAACACTTGAATGCTTACTCCTTTCCTGGAACGCAATGGCATCTCACTAAATTCTGACAACCTCAGACAGGTCTTGTGGTATGCTAGCTGACATTAACTGCCCTGTCTTTTTGGGCCTCACTTTTTCTAATACTATATCCCTTTCTTCCAAAGTGCGGTCATCAGATTGCATTGCCTCAGGGGAGAAGCAGCAGAATGCAAAAGCCAAATCCCTAAGCTACCCAGTGCCCTATACTCTTAGAGAAAATATTTGCAAGCAGGGGAAGGGTGAAATAGGCAAGCAGGTAGCTACCATGAAGGACAAGTTCAGCATGTGGCAAATACACAGACCCCATATATGTTTCAGGAATCTGAGAGCAGAAGTAAACTGTGTCTCTTTCTTGAGTCGAGAATAATGAGATCCCAGGATAATGACAAGCCCCAGTGTTCCCTAAAAAATGGCTGAGTAGAAATCGCTGCCAAATAAGTCTAGAGAGGGCAGAAACAGCCTCATAGAGCAATATTACACATTCCCAAGTGCACCAGTGTTTCTTGAGTTCCTATTTTAGATGAAAACATCAGACAAGGACTGTCCCCAAGGCTCTTACAATCTAGTGATGTGAGAATAGCTGAGAGTGGCTTGGCTATATGGCTCCTCAGCCTGTGGTCCTGTTGTAGATGGAGCAGCAGAGAGTTGAGATTCTTGTGTGTGATTAAAAAATAACTTGCAGGAAAAAGAATACCTGGAACCTACGTTTTCATATCTTATAATACAGCAAGGTATTAAGTTTGTTACTTTGTGTTCTATCTCCAAAACAACAAATACAAAAGACTTGAGTTTTAAATAACAAAATAAGTAAATAATAAATTGGAGAGTCAATTTTGCTATCAGGAAAAAATGTTCCCCTCCTGTCAAAATCCCAAGTGAAGATATGTAATTTAGGAATATAAAATAGCTTTTAATTAAAGTAAAAGTTTCTTGTCTCTTTTCATGCAAGTGACATTGCTATCTACAATAAATGTATTTAAATTTAGGAAGACTGGGTGTGGCAGCTCATGCTGATAATCCCAATATTTTGGGAGAGCGAAGTGGGAGGATTGCTTAAGGTCAAGAGTTCAAGACCAGCCCAGGCAATATAGCTAGACCCTATTTTTATAATAAATTAATTAATTAATTTAATTAAATAAATTTAGGAATTCCCTTAAACTTTAGTGAACATGATAAGAATTATATTACTCCTTAAAGAATATTTCAGTCAACAATAATTTCAAATAGTTTTAGATTAAAATTATAATTTGTAAAGTCAGTTTATGATTTACAACATCATCCCCAACATAATAATAATAATGAACTTTAGTTTCCAATTAAATAAAGAGGATCAGAGAAACTGTTTCCATTTTTTAACCAAGGATAATTTTTCAGTTGGTTAGCAATATCAGTGATGTTATTTTTATTCTAGGAATGGAAATGGGTTGATTTGTTGTCACTGGTTAGGACCATCTATTGTGCACTTAAGCTTGAGTCCAAATAATAATGTTCTCATGGAAAATAAAAAGGCTTGCCCATGGGACAGTTTTCTTCAGCATACCTTGCTATTTTTAACAATTGGATATATGGTCTGTACTGCCTTTGCTTAATTAGGTTATTTCAGAGTATTTTAGTGAAATCCCAGAACAGCAACCCATCCTGAGTATATTTATAAAGAATAACATACAGTACATCAATCTTCAACAAAATACACATAAATGTCGCATTTCTTCATCAAATGTGACCCAAAAACTACTATGTTTGAAAGCCAAAGGGCTTTTGAGATATTTCAATAATCTTCGAGAAATCAATCTTACATGAAACTGAAGGAAAACATCGAATGTCATTGAGCAATAAAGCTCAGTTCTGTCAGTACCCTACCTCTGAGCAGAAGCCTTAGGATGTTTCTCTTCCAGTTTCCTTACCAGTGCTACTGTCAGCTGCCCCGTCTCCTCAAGAGAACCTTCTGGCATTAAATGGGTGTCTGAGGGTTCTGGCAGTTGCTTCAGACCAGGGTTGCTGGCACTTTCTTGCAGAACCTAATAAATTAATTATAGGAATAATGTAGCTAATTTTCACTGAGTGGAAATATCTAAACCATACATGCCAAAAATATAATACTGCAGTTTCCATGATTCCTCAGTCTTCCTATAACATATAAGCCCTTTGAACGTAGTCAAAACAAAAGAAGGCAATCCTAAGAAAATGAGTATCACCGTCTATTTAGTAAAATGTTTATATAAAGATATATGCTTATGTAAATATCAATATGTGTATAGATATTATATTATGTGTATTATTTTAAACTATCAGTAACATAAAGTTGTGAATTTGTGCTTGCATCCCGAAAACAACTTGAACTTTTTTTCTCTTTTCAAAATATATTTTAGAGAGCTATTTCTGTCTTGCCTCTGGCTCCCTACACTGACCTCTTCTGCTAAGTTTCTGCCACGTTCCTGATGAGCTGTGGTCCAGGCACCATGGTGAATATGATACTCTGTCTGGGTCACATCTACTTTGGCATTTAGCTCCTCTAGGTAGGTCATAACAAACTGAAGATAAGCCTGTAAGAAAGGAAAAAATAACAAGTAGTATCAGCCTTATAAATAATAGCCAAAAGGCCATCCAACTGGAAAGAGGGGAAGATAAATAGTTAAAAGGCCTGGCTAATAAACTTTGTACTTTATTATCAATTTCATAACAAAATCAAGCCAAATTACTTAAATATTAAAGTTTCTAATTAGTTGTTAATCTGATCAAGTTTAGCTAGGTAGTTAATTTTTTGGCCTTAGATAAGATTAAAACAATAAAACCATCTTATACATTAATAATAATAGGTAAATTTATTGAGTTACCTTTATATACAAGATATTATTGTAAATACAACACATACATGTAATTCTGTAGTTGCTGTACTGTTTGAAAGTATTAAAATCTGCTCTAGAAGACAAGAAAATAAATAGAATGGATGAAACAGCTTCATTAAGCATAGATAAGATAGTAACCTGAGAAATGTTAGACACTAAGTAGAGCATATGTCTATGAACACTAAAAGGCCTTGAAAGACAACATAAAGGCCCTGTGTGGTAGCTCATGCCTGTAACCCCAGGACTTTGGGAGGCCAAAGTGGGCAGATCACAAGGTCAGGAGTTCAAGACCAGCCTAGAGAACATGGTGAAACCCTGCCTCTACTAAAAATACAAAAATTAGCTGGGCATGGTGGTGCATGCCTGTAATCCCAGCTACTCAAGAGGCTGAGGCAGGAGAATTCCTTGAACTGGGACCTAGGAGGCCGAGGTTGCAGTGAGCTGAAATCGTACCACTGCACTCCAACCTTGGCTACAGAGAGAGACTCCATCTCAAAAAAAGAAAAAAAAAAAGAAAGAAAGACAGAAAGGAAGATAAAATAGACATTTAGTATTCATGACTAACTACTAAACAAAGCAAAAAATACTTATGAAATACTAAATACAAATGGAGCACATGAGGTGCACGATAATCATGAGGTCTTTAATTAGCCACCCATTGCTGACTCTCACTTGGGGTCTTCTGCCAGATAAAATCCATCACTGCTCATCAGGCTAACTGAGGAGTACAGCTACAGGTCAAGTGACTCATACACAGCTCTCATGGAACAAGTGTGTGTCACTGTCTCAGGCATCTTTTATTTGTTGGGCCCCTCTGGTCAAGTTTTTATTCTGGTTCTTGTAACTACGTCAGCAGCAGGAAAGAGTAATGCTGCATAAGGCAGGGATATGTTAATACTGCAGACGAGATTCAGGCTAATATGACCCTTCAACCCACTTGTGTAATATTTCAATTACATTAAAGTGGCCCATCTCTCTTTCTTTACATTTTGTTTTATGTTTTAAATTGATTTAATACATCATGATGTGAATATTTGAATTTCTTCGGTGCACTTTTCTGTACCATGGGCTGTAGCCTAGCTTATCAAGTAATACACTTGGAGGCCACCCTTGTGTAAAAGTAATTTCCCACAAAACAATAAATTTGCATTTTAATCCTCGCAACAGCACTTTGAAGTGGGTACTATTATTGTGCCCATTTTAAAGGTGAGGAAGCAGGCACAGGGAAGTTAAGCAACATGCTTCACTGCCATCCCTCTTGATTAATAGTCTCTCAAGCCTAAATATGCTGCCTCAATTATAATATAAACTCCTTACTGCACTTTTTAAAGTGTGGAACTAAAATTCTAAAAAACAAAAAATATGTGGGAGTGTACAGTAGATAAAGGTGGTAAGGTCCTTATATTGTTCTGGAAAAAGAGATACTGAATAACTTTTAACTTTGTTAGAGGATGTAATATAAATATGCATGTTTAAAATTTGAGGCACTTCCCAACCTTAAGCGCATACTACTAAGTGTAGAGTTACCAGGAAGACAAAGAGTAACAAAATCAAAATGAAAGAGAATGACAAGAGTTGGCAAGAATATGAAGGTTTGAAAGCCTTGCTATTCCTCAAAATGTTAAATGTGGAGTTTTCATATGACCCAGCAATTCCACTTCTAGTTATGTACTTATGAGAAATGAAAATATATGTACACATAAAAATTTCCTTACCAATGCTTATTTTATTCAGTTTTGAATTTTTGGAGACTTTTTCAAAACTAACATGTATCCCTTTTATTATTTAAATGAGAACTGTTCCACACATGCAAATATATGCATAATAATTTCTGAGAATATACAAAAGCATGCTGTTAGTGAATAACTCTGGGAAATGGGAATAGAGTTTGAGAAGAAGAGAATTTACTTCTTATTAATGTGTTTGTTCTAATATTAATTTTTATAGCATATTACTTTTATAAAAATTAATCCTTAAATAGGAATTGGATATAGTGATATTATTGCATATACTATTCAGATAATTTTGGAAAGAGATTTTTGAATCACTAAGCTAATCCACAATATTAACCAAACGAAGTTTAATCTAAAAAAAATTGGGATTTTCGGGCCAGGTGAGGTGGCTCACGCCTGTAATCCCAGCACTTTGGGAGGCCAAGGCGGGTGGATCACGAGGTCAAGAGATCGAGACCATCCTGGCCAACGTGGTGAAACCCTGTCTCTATTAAAAATACAAAAAATTAGCTGGGCATGGTGGCATGTGCCTGTAATCCCAGCTACTCAGGAGGCTGAGGCAGGAGAATTGCCTGAACCCAGGAGGCGGAGGTTGCTGTGAGCCGAGATCACGCCATTGCACCCCAGCCTGGGTAACAAGAGCAAATCTCTGTCTCAAAAAAAAATTAGGATTTTCATTTTGCCTTCAATCTGATGTCATCTTTATTGCATTATGGAATTTTTTGTTTTCTTACATCAGTTCTTACTGTCATTCAAGACAATTCAACTGAAAAGAATGTGATGGTAATAGAAAGTAGATTATTCCATATTGGTTCCACTAAAATCATCAAAGCCCAAATTCAGCAACAAAAGACCAATACATTTAAAATATGAGAGAAAACATAATATCAAATGTTCCACAAAAGACCAATACATTTAAAATATGAGAGAAAACATAATATCAAGTATGTTCCACAATATCAGAATATTAAAAGAATTTACTTATAAGGAGCAAAACAAACAGTAGACACATTCCAAGACTATAAGTAACAGTAGCATGACTTAAATTCTGACAAATGTAAAGCCCATATATTGTTAGGTAGCTTCATGCTTCAAATCCTCTAATAGAAGTAAAGACATTTTATGTAAGTTTATTTCCGAGATACTTTCCCTAATACTAGAAAGAAGATGTACCTGGAATATGGGAAATTTCAATATATAATATATCAGGTGAAATGGAAGAGGAAGTGCCCCAAAGGTAGGGCCATGATGTGGCTGAACATTCTGCTAGACGTTAAAGAAGCAAAGACCAAAAGTACAACAAAAATACACTAATGGGCTCTGCTTCCTGGAGTTGTAAGTTTGTCCAAGGTGCAGACATATATAAACAATGCAAAGTGACCAGAGCTATTATTCATCTTCCCATCATGCATTTTAGGACATTTACAAATTGTCCTGAAACTTCCCCTTTGGAGTCATTCCTTTTCCAGGTAATATCTAGTGTAATACTTTAATACCACAGTCCTTCAGTGTTATCTACTCTAAGACCAAGTGATTTTGACTTCTAAAGAGGCAACCGCAGGGTTCAGTCATCAGATCACCAGTACAGAAAAGCACTTTCTCCAAAATCTGAAACTCAAATATTTTCTTCTAGAAGTCAATAGCCTAATCTTTCAACTTTTCCTCCCTTCAGCTTCACCAGTGCATCACCCTAAACTGACCTCTAATGTCTTAAGCCCTCATTATTTTCCAAGTCCATCAGCTCTTTGGCTGACAATGCATTCTTCGCATTCTAACCCATTTTTTACCACCAGAAGATAAATTTTGACAAAGTGCATCTTTAATCACATAATTCCCATTTCAAAAACTTCAAATAGTACATACTGATTAACAACCTACAGTCCTATCTTGGCTTTAAATTCCGGCTATGCTATTCACTGGCTTTGTGACCTTGGGTAAGTTCAACTTTCATAACAGAGAAGTTTTCCCACTGAAGAGTGAGTAAGAACATGCTTGGAATTTCACATGTACCAGATTCACTCTCAGGATGCAACTGTAGCTTCATGGTTGTTAAATAAAAATTTATGAGATTTTTTTTCCCACCATAATAGGGCTGGGAGATCATCTCCATTACTCTCAAGGTGTTACCTTCATGTCTGTAAGAAAGGCTATGTTTCATCTAACTTTGGGGCTCCACAAGAGTGCTTATGTTTTCAAGGGAAGTATGGCAGGTAAGTCAGCAGAATTTCACATGGAACTTTAAAGTCCAGATACTCTACCTACTCTTGGTCAATACAATAATCAGGTGTGTTTTTGAAGAGGACCTTTTTTTTTCTTATTATACATGCTTGTTATGGAAAACTTAGAAAATATAGTTAAAAACAAGGAAAACAGTTATCCATCTTTCCACAACCCATTTCACATATAAACTTCCAGTTTTGTCTCTATACATATTTCTTTAGTACAATGTAGTAAAATATTGTTTTCTTACCTGATTTTTTCCATTAACAACATTATGATTTTTCTTCATCATCATAAATTATTCTCCATGATGTGATGTCAACATTTGGTATTCATAATACATGCCACAATATAGTCATACAATCTCACTGTTGATTTCTGAATTTGTTTTCAATATTCACCAATCTAAATAGTACCATAATGGACATCCTTAAAGATATATTTTGGTGCATACTATTGATTAATTTCTTGGGGTAAGTTGCTATAAGTGAAATTTCTGAGTCACAAGGAATATGTATTTTTGTAAGGATTTTGATAATGTCAAACAGACCTGCAGAAATATCGTGCCACCCACTTTGATGGTCCCAAAAGTTCCCTGCTTCCTTGTAGAGCCCTCCCATCCTGTGAACTCCAGGAAGCAAAGCCCACTACTGGATTTTCGTTGATTATACTTGTGGCCTTTGCTTCTGTCATGGCTAGCAGAATATTCAGCCACATCATGGCCTTACCTTTTGGGCACTTCCT